TGATCGGTATATTAAATAGATTATGTAGGTAATATATACAATATATATATATATATGATCTTCATAAACTACCAGTATACATGCCACTTTTGAGTCTTTCATGCAAAGACAGCAAGTATTGTGGATTTGACTGTTTAGGGACCCAAAATGTTGCCTACAACATGGCACTTTAAGAAATATTACGAGACTTATATGAACGAGGGGTATCAGAAGGAAAGGGATTTTATTTCTCGATGACTCAACGGTAAGTTCGAGGGCTTATAGCATTAAAATTCGGGATCTTATTCTTACAGTAGGCAAAGCACGCATAACCTATTGTGAAATCTCGTATTTAACAACAACCAGGCAAACAATGTTATTTCTGATGCGCCGGATACCAGCAAGTTTCAGCAAGCAAATGATCATCTTAATAAATTGTATCCGTCCGTAGTTATTGATATTATGTGTTACATGTTTACACGACAGGTACCACCATTAAAAAAATGACAACGCCAGTGTGGTTTGTGTGCAGTAATATTTAGTTCTTAACAAGAATGATAAAAATGATGTGCTTAAACACCATCGATTAATAATTTCGTACAGTGATTATTTCATATATTTTTAGTTCTCTCAAGGAAGGTCTTGCTTGAGCAATGTTTCCAGGCAACTGATATTCTTAAGATGGCTGTATGTATTTCAATTTGTAAAAGTACGTCGAGTCGCGCGGAATAATGGCAAAATGTATCTAGTTAATGGGAACTTGATTGAGAGGGGATATCTGATGGCTTACACCCTCAACATCATTGGAGTATGTTTGTTGGTAGCAATCTAGTACGCCTGACTTAAGAAAAATAAAATCCATTAATTTCCTAACATTCCTGGTACATCTCATGATATTGTAAATTTTGTTTTAAAAGAAATACAAAAATATTAAGTTTTGTTACAGCGCCACCTAGATGGATAAATGAACCCAGGGATACCTCGGCGATCTTAAATAGTGACGTCATTATTAATTGTCAAGCTGATGGATTCCCCAAACCAGGAATAACTTGGAGAAAGTCAAAAGGTATTTATATATCGTTCATTTTGTGACAAAAATTAAAACAGAAGTTTAGAAAATAGAATTTAATTCAAACTCTTAGAGTAAATTTTAAAATTCTCATGTGGATGCAAGTAAGATCTAAGATATATTGATCTAATCGAAATTTTCTCGTAGATTTGCTGATTAAGACGGTTTATTCAAAACCTTGCAACTCTTGAAAATCTCGTGAACACCGCACAAATAAAGAGACGTTGACATTTCGCATCTTTTCAGTACCCTACCATCAGGTGTCGGTGACTTGTTGGCAATAAATTTCAACTATAAACAAACAGCAACACAGTCTGCTTATTTTAAAATAATATACTAAAAACAAATCAAATGTTTATACAAATGTTCGTTACACTGTTGGTTACCACAGTTGTATATATAGCTTTAATTAACTGTCTCTTTTTCGTCGAAGTCCACACATTCTGGTTCAGTTACTTGAAAACACCATTTACAAGACGAATTATCCTTCTCTACTCTGTTATTATAATAGGGTCTGTGATAATTTCACTTTAAAAATCGCCACTAGATTTTTTGAGGTAAATAATATTCAATTAAACCAACAAAAAGCTTAGAAAGTTCTTGCAATATGACGCAATAATCTCACTATTGCGAACAATTGAATTACACAATGTATGATTCGTAAACAGTTACATAAACAAACTTAACATAAAATATTGCTTCTAAAAACAAATAAATGTGACACCTGCGCTGTACAAACTATCTAAATCATAACGCTCGCATTAAACTGAAAACTGAAACAATGGTATATATAACACCTACTTCAGTAGAATAAACATATTCCTCCTGACTTTGTCTGATGTTTAAAACTGTATTATAGTGAAGCATTAAGAGGGTTGATTTTATATTTTTATTTTTAAATCAATGATATTAATTTTTTTCTTCATCGAAAAGTGAATTTAAGTGAAGAAAAGATGAAAAAGAGGCCTAATATATTTTTTGATTCGCTACTCCTCCTGTAACAGACTAGTTTCACCGAATTCACGGTTCATCAGTGTTGATTGTAAGAGCTAAGCAAATATATAAAGTAGGCCTCATATTTTCACCACTATTGGTGATGTCAATTTTGTTTATTTCATTGCTAAACCAATAAAAAAATTATTTTATTAATATAAACGTGGTAAACGTAAATTGAATCTAACGATGAGGTTCATGTATAATTCTAGGTCTTTGTTTGTTGCCCTACATTTCAGGATCTGTTTCCAGCGAGTACGTCTCCTTACGCACAAATGCACACATCAATGTCGTAACGAACGGTTCTCTAGCCATTCGGAAAGTCGAGAAAGATGATGCAGGTTTTTACATGTGTCAGGCGATCAATGGCATTGGGCCCGGAATCAGCGCAGTGGTAAAGCTGCGTATAAAAGGTCGTTTTTTATTATTCTGTTGGAAGTTCTGTATATTAAAATTTTGTTAATGAACTCATAATGGCAAAATCCGAGGTGAACTGAAATTTAAATCTTTTGTTCAACTTTAAGAACATAATATGCTATTATTATGCCATCCAACAGGAAATGAAAATATACTTTTAACCGGTATGATCACGGTATGCCTTTACGTTTCCGCTGACATTGTAAAACGATGAATACAAATATCCTTTTATTTAGTTCTGAACGATCAAAATTATTGTACCATCTCTTGATAAGTTGGTATTTTTCTACATAGTAATCGTTTTCGAGAAACCCAGTGTCTTTGTTTTATTTAAATGTAAACGTACACTGCTGCAGTGTCTCATTAATAAATTTAGCTTCTTTATAAACGTGTAATACTACGCAATAAAACTTATTTTTACTTTGCAAATTTCTATTAACTTATCAATGGTTTTAATGTTTTATATTTTAAATGCACGCTACCTCTGAAACTAGTGCGTCACTTCATTGTACACGTATAACAATATAAATATAATGCCTGCCTACTTTATAAATGTGTAACAGTATATTTAGTTTCTATAAATATAGTGTCATCCTTCTTTGTAAACGTATAACAGTATATTTAATTTCCATAAATATAGTGCCTGCCTACTTTGTAAACGTATAACAGTATATTTAATTTCCATAAATGTAGTGTCTGCCTACTTTGTAAACGTATAACAGTATATTTAATCTCCATAAATGTAGTGTCTGCCTACTTTGTAAACGTATAACAGTATATTTAATTTCCATAAATATAGTGCCTGCCTACTTTGTAAATGAATTTAAAGCAGAAACGATTCGAAAAGGTCACCTTCTTCAAATAACATGTCAAATATTCGGCGACCACCCTTTGACGGTCCAGTGGAAAAAAGATGGAGAAAATTTAGACTTCCGGTTTGACAGAAGGTAAAAGAAGGGTGCATTACCTTCAGAGTACTTCACAAAACACATTATGCGTTATTTGTATGAAGCAATAAGTAATATGTAAGCCTACACACTGGGAAATATTTGCTTTATAAAAGTAAGAGATATTTCTCACCTCCAGACCTTGGCGTTACAACAATTTAAGTTTAAGACAATAGTTTTCAAAATTATATGTTGAATTTAGACCTTGTGATAGTTAAATAAATGTTCTTTGATCGTAAGTCACTGTTCTAAGTTTGATAATGTTTCACTTTCTTTGTAATAACGTGATTTTTAGTAATGGTAATATTTTATTTCTGAAATGACAGTTGTAAAGCGTTATGGTGGAAACAACCAGTACTTTTATAAGCAGTTGTAAAGCGTTATAGTGGAAACAACCAGTACTTTGATAAGATTGTGTGATTAATGGACCTGAAGAATCACAATTAAAAATATACATTAAAAGTTATTCTAAATTGTACAATTTAGTTAACTATTTTGATCTAAGAAATAAACTTGTTTATCTGTTAATAATGATTGAGCATTACATGTTTTTTTTAAATGTAGTATTTCAGAATGTCTAATTACAACTGTTTTCTATCATTTTTATTTATGAGATATCTATACTCTGTAAACAACGCTGTAATGAAACAAATTTGTCACGAAGAACACACGTTTATTTTAGATATGATATTACTCAATCGCTAACCAATGATGGAATGATGTCACAACTTCAAGTACTATCGGCGGACAGAAGAGATTCATCGCTATTCACTTGCTTAGGTTCCAACAATTTTGGGAGCGATGAAATGAACATACAAATCATTGTACAAGGTAAATTATGTTGTAATTTTGTTTAAGCTCTTACATGTTTAAAGGGGGAAAAACAGCAGATAATGGACATAGACTAAACTGTAATTAAAAAAGAAATTTAAAATTATCGTTTCAATAGACGTCATGTTTTAACATTGCGACAACTGCGTAAAGAAAAACCAATAAAATTTATTATGGGAACTAGAGGTGTTTTAATTAGATGTTTGTGGACTTTATTTTCTTGAAAGATTCACATGACAGTATTCTACAACTCGATAATGCCCAAATATCTTTTTCGTTTAAATTCGCTACGTTTGTTTCGTGATTGTATTAGCACGTGTGGCATGTTGCACACTGTGGTCCATTGTTTCGTGATTGTATTAGCACGTGTGGCATGCTGCACACTGTGGTCCATTGTTTCGTGATTGTATTAGCACGTGTGGCATGTTGCACACTATGGTCCATTGTTTCGTGATTGTATTAGCACGTGTGGCATGTTGCACACTGTGGTCCATAAAATCTTTATAGTTCTACTTAATTATGATTATTGGAATTCCAAAATTTTTAATTTGACGTATCTTGAGTAATGTATCACAGTGTTCCCCGGTGGGTCAGCATTAAGTTTATGGACTTAAATAGCTAAAATCCGGGGTTCGAGTCCCTGCAGTAGACACAACAGATAGTCCAATGTGGCTTTGCAAAACCAAAAACAAAACGAAAAAAAAAGCAATGTATTACAGCACGTGTATGATTATATTATAGTTTCCGAAGGTCCCGTATATATACGACTGTTACTGTCTCCTGATTGGTTTGAGTTCCAGGCGATATAGCTTCGGTGCGTCACTGTCCAGACGTGATGATATCTAAGAGACAGAGCTGTCAAAGTAGCATCGTTCTTGCCTGTTGTCTTGACTACAAAGTGAAAGAATTAACCCAGGATCTAGATTGGCGACAAATGACAAACTGCAACCTTTGTCCTTTGTTATTCTCTCAAGTGGTTCCGAATTTTGATGTTGAACAAACTTAAGTCTCCACTGTTATCATCATTGAACATTGTTTCTTAGATGCAAAAGTAAAAAAAAAAAGTCGGTCACGATCAGATATAAAAGATTTGGTCACTCAATAGCATCATTCAGCAATATAATTATGTTTTTGTTATCAACATAAATGGGAAATGGAACTAGGTGTAAATCGATTTCACGACTTTATTGCGTTAGATTCTTTTATTGCTTCTTGTTCAGTGTTTGTATATTATATATATATGCTTATTGTGAACGCGTAGTTGTAGTTACTATCCATTAACTGCATCCTAATAACATGACGAAGTAGTGTAATGCTGATAACCAAGATATCATGGGATAGTAATAATAATAATACTTTGATTTCAAAAAAATATATTTTGTTTGTATTGAGTCTAGCCCTTCTTTTCCTGAATAAAGGCGAATGAAAAATAGAATAAAGTGGAGGAAAACAAAAGGAGGGAAGTGGCATAGTGGTTAGCGAGTGGGTTACTTATCAAGAGGTCTAAGGCTCGATTCGTCATATTCCATTAAACACGCTTTACAACTGTAGTCATAATTGTAATAATTAATTCTGCTATTCGGTTAAGAGTGTTATTGACGATTGTACTAACGGATTAACATCCCTCTTTTAGCAGACCTTGATTGGAGTTTATTATAACTTAACCTCGGGGTCTCTGAGGTGACCAGTTAACTCATGTGCCGCAAAGATTTCTTTCAGATTGCAAAAACTATCAAACATTAAGACACCTCAAACCTAAGATTCCACGCTACGATTTGAATGTGGAGAACGCCTATTCTGCGAGACACAAACTACGGACCAAACGTAAGAGTCCATGCTGCGGTTTAAATGTAGAGAACGTCTAAACTGTGAGAAACAAACTACGGGTTGGTAAACAGAACACTACAGAAATTAAACTCATTCTAAACTACGCGTCCCCCTGTTGGAAAGCGGCAAGTCTTCGGATTTCAACGCTAAAATCAGGGGTTCGATAGCCCGATGTGGCTTTGCTATAAGAAAACACACACACATTTTAAGCTATGCAGGTAAAAAGACCAATCGTTGTTAAAAATACCCGTCAGTATGGAACATTTCCTAATATGAGATATAATGTGCATTACGAATGCAAATAAATTTATGTCATTAGAAATTGCAGATAATCAATTAATACTGTGGACAGATTTGATCGTATCAGACAGTGTTAAGTGTGCATCTGTAACAACTTTATTTAACTTTTAATCTTTCCAAGAAATAAACGTATCACTCGCTAAAGTAGCTCTAAATAAACAACATTGAATTGAACGAGTAACTTATAAATGGTCAAAGCTGCATCAAATAGGTAATTCTAGTGAAATGGATTTCAAAGAGATTCTTTTTTTTTCTAAGTGTACAGAAAGTATTTACCTTAATTTTTATAATTTATAAAATAAGAAAAACAAAACCACGTATATGCTATGATTTTCTTTATTAGAACCTCCAGACAGGCCATCCAACATCAGAGTAGAGCAGGTGGAAAGTAGAAAGATAACGTTGTCCTGGTCAGCCCCTTACTCAGGAAACAGCCCAATCACACGCTATATTTTGATATACTGGAGTGAAGAAGGTAATATACGTTTGTCTGTGCGTGTATAGACATGTTTTACTTTTTATTTGTCTAAACATCCATGACCTATAATACAACTAACACATGGTACAAAATCTTTTAGGTTTCAAAGTAAAAGTACATAAAAACTAACAATTAATGTTAATAAAGTTAGAACATGAAATATCTACTTTTTTCTAGAGTCCCCCGGCAGCTCAGAAGTGAATTTGGGAGAAAGGCTTTTAACGCTAAAGTTTTGGATTCAGTCCCTGCAGCGATCATAGAGTAGCTATTTAGTCGTGTAGGTTTATGTCAAACAATCACAAATATAACATATTAGTAATGTCGTGCGGTGTTTCTCACACCTCCAAATTCTTCTGGAGATGCGCATTGGGAAGTACGACTTACGTCTCTATAGTTTGTTTGTTATGAATTTCGCGCAAAGCTACACGAGGGCTATCTGCTCTAGCCGTCCCTAATTTAGCAGTATAAGACTAGAGGGAAGGTAGTTAGTCATCACCACCCACCGCCAACTCTTGGGCTACCCTTTTACCAACGAATAGTGGGATTGACTGTCACATTACAACACCTCCACGGCTGAAAGGGCGAGCATGTTTGGTGTGACAGAGATTCGAACCCGCGACATGCAGATTGCGAGTCGAGCGCCCTAACCAGCTGGCCGTGCCGGGCACGTGTAAAATGTTATAACATATAACAAATAAAGTCATAAATATTCACAGACTTAATAAAATTTGGTAAATATATCTTCTTCATATAATACTAACAGCTTTTCTAAGCGTTTCATAAGCATTAGAATAGAAACGCTAGAAACCGGGTTTCGATACCCGTAGTGGGAAGAGCACAGCTAGCCCATTGTGTAGTTTTGTGCTTAATTCCAAATAAACAAACAAAAGCATTAAAATATATTAATAGAATGATTAAATATATCGTATATCTATCAGTTAATATGTTAAGAAACACAACAGCCACTTTACAGGTAATGTCCGAACGCACTATTCATTAATAACAAAAAAATTAGATTGTGTTTTTGTCGTGTGTAATAAATAGGCTACTTCCTCATATGTTAAATCTCTGACAATAGTTTTAGTTACTAGAACATGCAACCTCAAAGCAATTAGTATGTCGATAGGACAAGTTCTGCAATGATGAAATATAGATGTAAAGAAAGTGTACTGTTGTAACATCATTTAGCTACTCTTGATCTGAGTTTGGAAGTAACTGACAGTTCAGGATATTTATTATATCTATTACATAAATATCAAACACGATGTAGATTCTGAAATGTCATCAATTATAATGACAAAGCCCAGAACAATGAATTTTTGGCTTGAATTATTCATACGTTTAGATCACGATCACCAAAATAGGAAGGAGATGGTAATTCCAGCTTCACAGACTAACGTGGTGGTGAAGGGTTTACTTCCGGCTACTGAATACCACTTCCATCTATTGGCTGAGAACGCTGTGGGTCGGAGCGATTTAAGTGAGGAGATTACAGCAACCAGTAATATAGAAGGTATTATTTAGAATTCACACGTGCTCTATATTACTAATGTTTCTATATATTACATTTTGCAAATACATGTTCAGAATTAGCCATTATGGTCCAAGAAGGGAGTTAACGCGCATTATTTCATTTTTAGTTTGGAAGTACACTTTACTATAGATGAATTTAATTTCATTCTAAACACATAATTAATGTTCAGTAATATTTCATTGTATTTTATACGAACGATTTGAATATAATAATAAATTGGTTAAATAGCTTAATTTCGCCACGGATAGATTTAAGGTTTGGGGATTATAAAAAAAAATTCTGAGTTAGGTTGTTAAACTATGCCAATCCAAAGGACAAAACACCGTTCGTATAGAAAACAAAGGTCCCCGACACCTCATCCCAACCCAATCTGGTCAACATCGTCATCCTCAAAGTGAAAGCTATGGTTTCTACCCATAATGCCATTGTGCTGAAGCTGGTACCGTTAACAAGACAATAAACAAAGCTTTGAAGCTCACAAGACAAAAAATTATCAGATTCAAGCCACAACTCCAAATCAACGTCTATTTTTATGAAAATTATGGCCGAAGAAATTGGAATCATAGCAATCTCATTCGATCATATTCCTATCAAGTCCACCGAAGCAGCTGCAATAGACTTCTGTGCATCGAGTGTGCTTAATCGTGGTGTTCAATATAAGCTGACATCCTTACAGTGGAGAGTCTGTCAAGATGTATAGTCTAAGATTGACTCTGTCATCTATTGTTGAAGCTTGTTACGATGTAAATTGCGATGTAGGTCAGTAGTGCGTAATAATGGTCATTAAGCTCATCACGATCGATGATGGAGGAAAAAGACAGCACGGAACATGGAACGTCGTTCTTATATAGCATGATTAACGTCTCTATGCTTTTTTATTGGAAGTATGGAAATAATTTGTAATGTACGATGTTCTATAATATCTAGTAATTCTTTGTAAGACTTTACCACCAACTAAATTATTACCTCATTATTGTATTCTGTAACACATGTTTTTCATTTTAAGACCATACCTTAGTCCATTTTCATTTTTACGTTTTATTGTATACAGTGATCCTCATGAATATCATCTATAGTACTTGTGGTCTCCCCAAGACTCTGTAAATAGTTTATTATTATCTCATGATTGTCCTATCTAGTTCCCGTAGGTCCTCACCCCAAGATTCTACTAATAGTTTATTTATTAGTTCACAACTGTCGTATGTAGTACCTATGGTCCTCGGTCCCTCCAGTAGCTACTACTAATAGTTTATTTAGTATTTCAAAATTGTAATATAGTACCCGTGCCCTCTCTTCCCCCTCTCATATTTTACTCATAGTTTAGTTATGACCTCTTCATCGTCCTGTACACCAGGGGTTCCCAAACTGTGAGGCATAGCAAATACACAAACACACACTACTGGTAAGGTACTCAGTGTCTACAGATTCATTAGTTGGGAGGAGGGGGAACTCAGTCAGGATGCGAAATCTTCTGGGGATCTCGTGCTGAGAGAGTTTGAGAACCCAATCTATATAATACCCATGTACCCCCTCCAATACACACATGCAATATTCTTCTAATGATTGGTTGTTGATACAGTTAATGCATGCTATAGATCTAGTAATTCTTTCCAAGGTTTTACTTAATCTCGTTATTATGTTTTCAGTACCTGGTGGTCCTCCTCAAGACGTGAGGGTGGAGGTTCTAGGATCACAACTAGTGAGAGTAACATGGAAGGTACGGTGAGCTAATGTGAAGCTGTCTTTTATACTCACTTCACCATCGGTCTATACGAATTGCTGTAACTCACGTTTTTATTTTTTCTGCTAGATTAATTTTTCAACTTTGTCATTTTCCATGCCTTTTATACTTCTTGAAGTGTTTTGAACATTGTATTTAAATAATAATTAAAAAAACAACTTTGATATGTTTATAATTAATTTATTTCAAAGAAGACTGGAGTTAAGCATAACAAGCATCCTTTAACTTTCGTAGAAGGAAGCTATCTTGTGCCAAGTGATTCTAGAACAAGTATCTCATCGTCTAGTAGTTCCACAGAGGATATCACTAGTTTGTTGTAAGATGAGTTTTGGTTGTTCGACCCTGAAGGAAATTAAACATTTGCTATACGTGTAGTTTTTAATAACTTTTTTTATAAACTTTCTTCCTTGCCAGTCACCTGAACCTCACCTTACTCATGGTCCAATAAAGGGGTATTATGTGGGCTACAAGGTACATAGGTCATCCGAAGCTTACACGTACAAAACGATGAACGCGAATTTTCACGACGAAAAACTAACCTGCTTTTTGAAAAATCTCAAAAAGCTAACTCGGTACAAAATCATCGTGCAAGCGTTCAACATCAAGGGGGCTGGTCCGCCCTCTGACGAAGTTTTATTTGTCACTTTAGACAATGGTAAGACTTTTTTCCTCTCTCTCTCTTCATCAACAAAGCTTTTCTCATAGTCTGATTACTTCACAATAATTTAGGCTCTCTTTGGTATTCTGGAGGCTTTAAGTTTATTTGAAAAATAAGTTGAAATTTAAATCTCAACTTGTAAGAAACAAAGATTAACCGACGTTTAAGCTGACCATAATAATATTTATAATCTCTTTTCATTTAAGAAATACATTTTTATTTCGGTTATTTTTTATTCCAACATAACTTTAATAGATGGAGAAAAGAATAGAAGTTTGTTGTTATATAAAAACTTATGTGATAAAAATCAATCTTTCAGCTACTTTTAGTGTCCAAGAAATACATTGTCTGATGGCTTAGAAACATTCAGAGTTATTCAAGGCTAGTAAGTACTTGATACATTTAAGAACTGGAAATCAAGCCACAATATTATCAATAGCCTTTACCAATTTTTTAATCCATAAAACGATTTGAATTTATATTCTTAAATATAAACAACTATTTTGACAATATAAACGACTAAATGAGTTTACTGACCTCTGGTTGGAAAATAATTATCTATGACCACAGGTTTATTGACATTTATAAAGAAAGCACAAGATTTGTTTTAACTGACTTCAAATCAGAAGAAAATGTGATTTATATAGTTAAAATTTTAGTAACTGCGGTAAAAAATAGGCTTTATTGTATATAGCTGATCGAATACTGTCCTATGATAGGTTCCCTTGGTAGGTCAGCCGTAATTTAACAAACTTACAACGATAAAATTCGTGGTTCGATTCTTCGCGGTGGACAAGGTACAGCCTTTTGAGTGGTTTGCACTAAAACAGACAAACAGACTTCTCATATCAGCAAACTTTTGTTGAATTACCAATTCTCCCCTTTTTCGTCGATTCGACAAGAGCTTATTAAATAAATATGTTTAAACTAAAAAGGCCAGGCATGGTTTATAGTAGCTAGTGTATATCGAACTGTGGATCGGTAGGTCCAAGGTTTGAACTCCGATGTGCTCTACACTTTTAAACTAAGAAACGATTGAAAAACCAGTACTGATTTTGGTTGCATTAAAATTTGTTTTAGTTTAGCAAATGATTTCTATTCTTAGAAAGAAGAAAATTGGTTTACTAGAATATGATTAGATTTTAATTTTTGTTGACTTCATGCCGTACTGTGATTGATATGGAGGAATAACTTTTAGATCTTCTTCAAGAAAGAATCCTCAGGAGTGCTTCGAGTGCATGTATCGTTACATTTTTTATTATGAGAAAAGACTTTAGGAATATTGCTTTTAAGAGCATGCACGTTTTTGTTGACGAAGAGAAGTTGGCTTGTCAAAGAAATTGGAGATTCCTTGCACGCCTTAATTAAAATATCTTACGAAAAAAAAAAGCTGGTAAGAAAAACAAAAAGTCTAATAAATTAAAAAAGATCTTGCCTGAAAAACGGCCTTAGAGTACAACTCGAGAAAGCTTTGGACGTGTTTTTTGTCCTTAAAGAGGTCAGATTAAAAAATAAACTGTGGATAACCTTAGTACTAGTGTATTGCATTAGTATATTGAAGACGTTGACAGATGGTGTTTGATAAAACTTGTAAGAATGGGACGACCAAAAAAAAAAAAGAAGAAATTGGATATTGAGCATTAATTGCACCTTATGCGCATGGGCTAAACAGTCAGGTCAGAGATCTCTGGTGTCCAGGGATAGATGTTCTTAATTTTAAACTACTAGCAGAGAGAGAAGAGCAGGCTACATTACCAGCGGGGGCAAGAGTTTTTTCTGGCTCTTTAAGCTGCAAAACGAATTGAATGTCACTTTTATAATGCATCTAATACTGAAAGCGCGGAGTTTGTTCAGTGGCATCATATTTCGAACCCTGGATGTTTAAGTCCTCAGTCCAACAAGTTAACTGCTAAGCCACGACCAGTAAACAAAAAGGAACGATGTCAGCGTGAAAAAAGCAGTGAACAGAACCTAGATAATTTAGCAAAATTATAGAAACCTTGCAAAAAAAAAAAAGAATAAGAAAAGAAAGAGGATAGAGTTGTTAAAGGAAATAAAGGCTTAGGAAGAAAAATGTCTGGTAGAGAAGGTTGAACGATTGGTGCAGTAGTTACAAATCATCAGTTTTCCAATAAATAATGAATCATTAAGGTTTTTAGAAATGCATGTTTAAATTATTGTATTTTCTGGCAAAGTACTTTACTTATAAAAAGATAAGAGATTCGTGATTATTAACCCACATTTTCTGACATGGTATACTGTTTCATAAATTAAAAAACAAAACAAAAAACAGGGCTACAGCTTGACGGTCAGATTGGTCACTTACAGGAATAAGGTGACCAGCTATGTAGTTAACATGCAAAAATAATACACTAAGTAACAATGTAGACAAAGTGTACTATTATTTATTTTTAAAAGATTCACGAAATGATATTTTTATAGTGATTACCATTAGGATAATGAATCATTGATCATGCAAAAATAATACACAAAGTAAAAATGTAGGCAAAGTGTACTATTATTTATTTTTAAAAGATTCACGAAATGATATTTCATAGTGATTTCCATTAGGATAATGAATCATTGATCATTTCTTGTGATTTTTCAGATCCGCCGACTGCTCCCAAGCTTAAAGTGGCCTCTGTATCGTTTACATCCATCCAAGTCACATGGACTGTGCAGAGGTCCGATAATATACCAATTTCAGGTAAATGATAGTGTAATGTGACTTATTTAACATATTTAATTTTATCATTAACACCAAGCGCATGTGCGTTTGATAGAAAACAACAAGCCACGTATTTCTCAGTAGTTGAATACAGCACCATGCACTTCTGTGACTGGCAAAATAGGACACTACTGTAACCATGCACTTCTGTGACTGGCAAAAATAGGACACTACTGTAACCATGCACTTCTGTGACTGGCAAAATAGGACACTACTGTAACTATGCACTTCTGTGACTGGCAAAATAGGACGCTACTGTAACCGTGCACTTCTGTGACTGGCAAAATAAGACACTACTGTAACCATGCACTTCTGTGACTGGCAAAATAGGACACTTTATCTTTGTTTATGTAACACATAAACTAATAATTTTATGTAGCTCCCTTACAGATTTTATTTAGATGTTGTGGCTGACTATCTGGAGTCGAAATATTTTTGAAATGCATTGAAGTGGTGGGTGGGTAAGGTTGAAAGTCTTCTGTATTCCACGGATTCTGTTCTAATACCACAATATATATATATATTACAAAATTAATTGGTTTCATTGTCTGCACATATCTATGAAATTACTTTGTCGTTTTTCTTCTAAAATTGTATATAAACATTATATAATCACTTATTATAAGAGAACATCTTCCCAGTCCAACAAACCTGATTGGTTTTCTATTACCATATTTTCAAATAAATTCTAAATATTATCTATTAATATATAGAAGTTTTGTTCATTCTAGAATTATTGAAATATTTTTTCATTTTTGGAATATCTAATTTACGGACATTCACAGACAATATGATTAACTGGTTCTTCATTTTGTTTGATAAAATAGACATTTTTCTTATTGCACTGTATCCTTCAGTATTAGTAAGTTTTTTATATATATCACATTGAAAATATAATCTACATGTAAAAATAAATTAATAGCTTTTCGGCCTTAGGCCTACATCATATTTTATATTTCATCTCTAATTATAATACACTTCCCTTGCTTTCATAAAATGATGGTTTAATTTTACTGTCCAAAGCAGAATGGCATAGAAAGGAAAGAAAAACTAATTAGTAATAGGTATTTATTAGTTTTATAAAAAGTATTGAATTTTTTAAATCAATTATTTATCGCTTGGAAAAGTTAGATATGATATTTTATATAGTTCCAAAATTATTTTTAAAGTAAGTAAATGCTATATTTTACGCTGTTTTTTAGGGGTCAGAAAAAAGAAATCATATTTGGGAAGAATTTTTTTTATTAAATTAAGTGTAATAGTGTTACTTAAGACAGACATATTAGTCCCTCTGTGGTACAGCGGTAATTTTACGGATTTACAACGCTAAAATCCGAGGTTCGATTCCCCACGATGTACACCGCAGATAGCCCAATGTGGCTTTGATACAAAAAACAAAATGACAAACCAAACATATTAAAGTGAAACAGTGGTAGGTCAGAAAATAATTATTTTTATTTCACAAATTTGAAAGATTAGAAATCATGGAGAAACACATAAGATTATTTAATTAGCATGTTACAATACCATTATAAAGGTTTTCAAAGTTGTAGATTAGAAAAAAGGGTAAATGATGCAGATCAAAATTTGTGGGGGTCATGAGTTGCTTTTAATAATCGAGAAACTGTATTTGTAAAAAACAAATATCACTGAGTAAAGTTTAGGCTTTTATGACTTTTGTATAACTTTGATTTTCAAGTATCTCGCTTTTCGTTCACAAATGAGAAAATATGATATAGAAATTGCTTATTTCTAGGGTTAAATATAATACATAGTAATATCTCGAATAAATGAAAAATCCTTATCTTGAACTTGATAGTAGCCTGTTTTGAATTGCATGTATCAATGATTGGTAAACTGGATAAATTTTATAGGCGACGGGAGCTGATAGTGAAGTATTATTTCATGTCTTTGAGTGAAAAGAATCTGATGAGTTTATAAAAGTACCAAAAGTCAAAATTATATGTACACGTTATTTCAGAAACAAGCTTTGCTATAAATTACTTTATTTATTAAGATCGGCGAGCGTTCTTACGAGTGTGAATATTGACATCGTAGGTTAGTTAATATTACTGAATACATATCACAGTCATTCTTATTTGTTTGTTATGAATTTCACGCAAAGCTACACGAGGGCTATCTACGCTAGACGTCCCTAATTTTGTAGTGAAATAACTAGAGGGAAGGCAGCTAATCATCACCACCCACCGCCAACTCTTGGGCAACTCTTGTACCAACGAATAATGGGATTGACCGTCACATTATAACGCCCCCACGGCTGAAAGGGCGAGCATATTTAGTAGGACGGGGGTTCGAACTGCGACCAGCAGATTGCGAGTCGAGCGTCCTAACCACCTGGCCATGTCGTTCTTAATCACACTCAGTAAATTGAATTTCAGTCTTAGGCTTACATTAGATTTTACACTTCAGTAAAAATGTTTGTAATACTTAACAGAAGTAGATTTAGGCTTTTTATTTTTATTTTGGATCTGTTGAAGTGAGCATTGGTGTACATGTACGGCTTTAAGTAATAAAACACACATACAAGGTCAAGTGTAATATTATCAAGTAACAAACTGGACAAATAGAAATAGGAAATGAATACAAGTATATATATATAAGTATCAATACATTTGTATTTAAAAGTTTATACATATATAACTTTATTTCAGAAACAAATGTAGGAATTTAAACAGATATGTAGGTGTACAATCTATAACAGGCCAACTTGGCAGAGTATTATTGGCATTTGTAGTAATGTCTTGGATTTTCATGGTTTTAGCAATGCAATCTGTTCCTTGTGGATCTGTATGTTTCACCAATATAAATATCAGAACATAAAGTACATATGAGTAAGTAAACAACTTTTTCGTTGTACATTTATCAGTAAATCGAATGGAACGTGCTTTACAGTTATGTCCAGGACAAGATAGTGAAGTGAAATATGATTTTACGAGTATGTCTTTCAGTTTAGGTCCGGATTTTTTAGTTAACTTGATATCTAAATGATCCCAGGTACTGAAAGACATATTTTTCAACTTACCTCATGAGAGATAAATGTTTAAACAATTTGATCTCAATGGTCAATGGTCAACAAAACGTTGTTTACTTACTCAGATTCCCTTTATGTCCTGGTATTTATATTGGCGAAGAAAAGTTAGTTGTTCTTTGAAGCGTTGGTGTTTCTTCTTACCCCTGAGTATCTTTGAAAACAAACTTGTTAAGATTGGTGAGCGGTCTTCTTTAGTGTCGGTAGGGACATCATGGGAGAGTTAATATTAAGAAATTATCAAACAGTTTGCTCTTAAACAAACTTAAAAAAATAATCTTAATACATCGATCTTACATATATCCGATAAAATACCTAAATATTCTGTACTGAAGCTATTTCTGCCAAATTTTTTATCAACTTTTAAAAATCTTTTTAATATGTTACATATATACTGTCTATAAAATACTGTTTTTTTCTTGGTTGTCTATTCATATTTTGTTTTGTCCAGTTATTACTTGGTAGGAGTATATTTGGCTGTCATACGTAATATAATCTATTACCTAAGGGTGTAAGTATGCTCCGCCTTTGCTCATGCGCACTTCAACACATTCCGTACAAATAATTATAATCCGTTACTGAGTCTTTGCGGGTTCGAATCCCCGTCACACCAAACATGCTTGCCCTTTCATCCG